TATATATATGTATATATGTATATATATGTGATCTGAGGCAGGATTAAATGTCTATGTGGAAATTCAACCCAGGATGCTGAGATCTGGGCCAGCTTTCATAGAAAAGCTGGCCTGTTTAATACCACAGACACGACATTGATTGATGCTCTTTGTGTATCACAGTGCCTCTTTCTTGTTTCTTTATAGACTTAGAGAACTGCCTAATGCTTCCTCAGTACCTCTGGCTGAAAACATCTTTGAGTTTCCTTATTTTCTTCCCTTTGGGCTGTAGGCTGGGATCAACTCTCCTTAATTTGTACCCAGCCTATACCAATGGAGTCTCAAAATTAGAGCAATTGAAAGATAAATGTCTGTGGCCACTGTCATAAATTGACTTTTCTCATGTATTAATGCATCACTAGGATTTGCCTGTTGTACAGATCAGTGTTGGTTTGACAGTGACATGTTGATCTGATGAGTGCTCCAATACTGAGGATCCCATTCCATACATTTATTGGAAATAATATTTAGCATGACATTATTTATGAATATTTGAAGAAATGTGTGGGAATAACCCCAGTGCAGTTGTTTTTACCTCTGTTAAAGTGTTGAAATCCTCTTTGCCTGTGACTAAACTCAAAGTGTATCCAAAATTAAGTTACAGGGTTTCAGTTTAAAAGCTTCAGTTCTTAGGCTTGCAAAAAATTAATGAAATGCAACTGTGATTTTGTGTATTCTCTGAGATAAGCATTCCTTGCTGGACATGGCATTCCAGAATCATCAGGCAACTTGTTTTCTAATCTGTGTTCTCTTTCAACTGTATATTGTCTTTTCTAACTCTTTTGCTCAGCTGTGAACTCAAAGAGAAATTAACGTGTTCTGTGAGGTGCATAGTAACTTCAGAAGGTCTTGTAGTAACTAGTACCTTCTCTCTCTTTCAGCCTGAGGGCTTTTCAAGCAGTCCAGCTCCCAGCAAGGATCTACCTCTTCTTTCTAGTCAGTCGTCGTTGCCCCAGAGCAACAACATGGCTCCTTTTGCCTCTGAAGTGGAGAACTTTCTCAAACGGTTTAACAAAGACTCTGTAGTGGAGTCTGCAAACAAGGAGTTGTGTGAAGGTTTATATGAATGGAGCCCACTTCCTGGGCCTCCCAAAGACTCTTTCACATTTGAAGAGAAGTTTGGAAGCTTCTTAAGTCACAAGGAAAAGGTAGAACCCAAGTCAGAGCCCACTGATCGCCATACTGACTTCCTGCTGCCTCACGAGAGAGCCAGTCAGGATGGCAGCGGCTTCTCCCGAATTCTGGGCATGATGGCCGATTCTGTCAGTGCCCAGGAGAAGAGAAGGCGTAGCTTTCCTGACATTGAGGATGAAGAGAAATTTCTTTATGGTGATGAGGATGAAGAGGCCAAAACTGAATCTCTCCCCATTCAGAAGCCCCCAGTCAGTTGTGGCAATGACATAATAATCCAGAAATTGAGCCCACCTTCTTCTCCTGCTCCAGCTGTCAAGCTGGATCCTTTAGAAGAGCCAAATGCAGAGTATGCAAAGATTCACGACTTACTCAAAACCATTGGACTTGACATTGGTGTTGCTGAAATAGGAAAACTGGCTGTTCGTACCCAGGAACGCCTTCATGGCAAGAAGTTGGCATCTCGTTCTCCCGATCGTCGCTCCGCAGACACTCGCAGACTGGACCACTGGGACTTGCGTCGCAGTCGGAGCGACACTCGTTCACCCGAGTCAGGCCAGCAGCGTTCAGCATCACCTCCAGTCTCTTTCCAGCAGTCTAAAGATGTGTCCACTCTTCAGAAAGCAGAGTACACTAAGAACAAGCCAGTGGGACAAGATATACCTCCACATGCACCAGAACAGCCTCTTCCTTCTGTTTCTCTCATTCCGTCAGTTCCACCAACTCCTCCTAGTTTGCCACCTACACCTACTTCTGTTTCACAGTACCAAATTCCCAGCTACTCCCACTACACTCCCACTCAAATGCCCCAAAACTATCCCCCTCCCACAATGGCTCCTCCAGGATACGACACATATGGGCACTACATGGCATATGCAGCCCCTGGCTGGCCCATGTACCCCCCTGCCCAGCAGCCTAATCCTACACTGCCAGAAGCTCATGGTCTTCTTACTATGGCCATGTCAGCGAACCCCACACGTCCCAATCTCCGGGTGATTGAGACGGTCTCTATGGGAAAGGATATCCCTGATGTAAAAAGAGATGGTTCTGTGCTCGTTCAAGTCCCTACCACTCCTACTCATTCCAAATCGCCCCTTCGTCTGTCTTCACACCCTCTCAAAAATTCCACAGAAAGGATGTCGGATGAAAAAAATCGGGCAGCTCAAAAGCAGAAGGTATGTTACCTGTTCTGATACATCACAATGTGTTAAACTGCATGATTGGTGGGGTGGAAGCTTTTCCTCTTCAGGTGTGCCTTTTTTTTCCCCCTGAGTGCTTCCAGTTTGACTAAATTTGCTTTTGTTAAAGATTTCTAAGCATTTGTTTGTATTACTCTCTGACAGTTTAAGAAAATGCATTTTAAGTCCCCCATCTGTTGGCTATGGCAGAACAGATGAAATCGAACACAAAGTTGAAGTTCTTTGGACCAGCTAAAATCGTAGAAGAGAAAATATGATGGCCACAGTTTGTTTTTATTCCTCCGAGCTTTAGATACTGAAACACCTGAAGATATCTAGAGATACATAAATACCTGAAGGGACAGTGTAAAGAAAATGAAACTGGAGTTTTTGACTGGTGTCCAGTAGCAGGGCAAGAGGCAATAGGCACAAACTGAAACACAAAGGCTCCATCTGAACATGGTATGTGGACAATAATACTTTGGTTATACTTATATTGGACCTTCTTAAATACATACTAAAGGATATCATCAGTCACAATTTTCCCTCTATATTAATTTTCTTTTATAAAAATCACAAAATGAGAAGAACTTAAGGGAAAATGTTCTTTACTTGGAGCATCTGACACCCGTTCAAGTTATGGGTGTTAATATTTTCCTCTTCTAGTTACCTTAATTTGTGCAACAGTCATGGGGAAGAATGTATTTCAAAATAGGAAATTGTAGTTACACAACTGTCAAAGGACTGGAAGATTCCTGAAAGCTGTTTGGGTTTTCAAACTGTGTGTCCACTCGGTCTTTGTTGTTAAAATAAGGGCATAGAACCATAGAATGGTTTGAGTTGGAGAGGAGCTTTAAAAGTCATCTAGTTCCAACCACCCTGCCATGGGCACAGACACTTCCCACTAGACCAGGGCTCCATCCAGCCTGGCCTTGAACATTCCAGGGATATGGCATCTAGAGTTTCTTTTGGCAGCCTATTCTAGTGTCTCACCACCCTCATTGTAAAAAAAATTCTTCCTTAGATCTAGTTGAAATCTACCCTCTTTTAGTTTGAAACAGTTGGCACTTGTCCTGCCACTACAGGCTTTGGTAAAATGTCTGTCCCTATCTTTCTTCCAAGCCCCCTTTAAATACTGAAATGCTGCAACAAGGTCTTCCAGGATCCACCTTTTCACTTACATAAAGTACTCTATCAGCAGTTAAGTTAATTTTTTCTGCTTGCAGAAGTAATAATTTCTTCAGCTGACATGGCTGAAGTTTTGTTTTTAATGAAACTTGGTACGTTAGGACGACCTCTGTTGGCTGAAGGTGTGTGGCTTTTTCCTGCCCTAACATACCCTGGTAGCTCACCTGTGTATCTTGGTAGAACTTCTAGGGATTTGTCTGCACTAGAGATGGCTTTGGTTTGCGCTTAGTCCGCTGTGTATTTTGCAGGAATGTCTTGGAGTATAAAAATTTGCATGCTCCAGTTGATGCCCCCATGCTGGCAGAAAACCCAGGATGAGAGAATGGTGTTTTGGTGTTCAAAAAAACCCCTATAAAACCCCATAAAAACTTGTGGCATTTAAGATATGGCCTGTGTTGGTAGAACTCCTTCCAGGGCTTACACCAGGAAGGATCTAGGAATCCTGCCAACATTTACATTGCCATAGTAGTAATGATTGTCTAAGGAAGTCAAGGCCTGGGTCACTTGTTGTTTGTACAAGGGAGGAGTTGGTAGTAGGTTTTAAGAGCATTGAGAATGCAAAGTATTGGGATTTGTCTCTTGAAAAATGAAGCTGGGAAAGAAATTGAAAGACATTTTCAGGTTTCATTTTAGCATATTGCTTTGTTTCCTTCTGTAAGAATCAATGAAAATCAGCGAAGAGGTGTATTTAGGGTGTTAAAATACTCAAGAACATTTTGAGAATAGGTAGCAGTGTTCTGTGTCTGGCAAACTGAGGTCTTGCTGTCGTTCTTGTAAGACTGATTAGCTTTTGTTGGGAAGAGAGGAAAATCCAGACCCCTTCCAATTTATTTAGGTGATAGAAGAGAGAGAAAAGCTGAAGAATGACCGAGAAGCACAGCAGAAGAAACTTTACTATCTCAAGACTGAATTGGACAGACTTCGTAAGCAACAAGGTATAGTGCATTCTCCCCCAGCCCCTGCTTATTTTTGCCCCCATTGGGATGTGTTACAAGTCCTGATACCTATTAGGTGAAGTGAAGGTCTAAATAATAGTAGTCTGTATCCTAGGATTTTCATTCTCCTGGCAATGCAGAACTCTTGAGAAAGCAGTGACCTAATTACTATTTTAAATTTAATGACATCAAAGTTTGGCTGTTGCACTGAAGCAAACAGTTGCTCTTGCATCTTCTTTGGCAGCTCGGTAAGTTAAACAAATTGCACTTTGTGCATTTTACTGCTTCTTTAGAAGAAGTGAGAAGTACTAACTGAAGATGTCAGCGTGCCTTTCAATTTTTCATAAATCTTACCTGGAGGAGTCCTCTCTAGACAGAGATAGCTTTTTTTTTGTCTTTAAAAATTGTTTGGTCCAAGTAAATACTATTTTCCCTCACCTTTGGATAATCATACTTTCAGGTTAGAATATACAGTTTAACTTTTACTTGTTTGATCACACAGGGAAACAGTGATTATTAAAGTGATACTCTTGAGGATTATGGTGTCTGTGTATTATGGTAATCCTGATGGAGGCAGATCGTGCAGATTTAGTGATGCTGTGCCTGAGAGTCGGTTCTGTCTTTACAACTTTATAGTCAAGATTTAGCATTTAGCTGTACTATTTTATGTTATGGTTTTTTTTTGTTGCTGGAATGGCACAGACAATGTCTTAAGACAATTTTCCTGTTGCATTTCCAACTCTTGTAATTTCTTGATTGGCTCAGGAGAGATGTTGAGGAAAAAACGTCGTGAGAAGGATGGACACAAAGACCCCTTGTTGGTTGAGGTGAACAGGCTACAAGAGAATATTATGAAGGAGATTGCAGAGCTGCATAAGGAATCTGATGCAGCTGACAAGAAGCAGTCTGAGCTTGACAAAGTAGCACAAATCCTGGGGATTAACATATTTGAAAAACCCCGGAAACCATCTGTAGAAACTAAAGAGTCCTCGGAAAAGAACAGCAAATCAGAAAATGCAAAAGGTGTGGAGAAAACATCTTCCTCCAACAAGGTAAAGTCTTACGGCTTGTGCGCTAATGATTTTTCCACTAAGAGAAAAGGGCACTGGGGAGGCAGCTGCTCCCAAACATTTACTAGAGGATCATTTGATGTCATTTGTTACCACATCTCATACACTGGCTTTGATGGTGCATGCAGGTGAGAGTCAATCTATCAGTGTTTATAATTTCCCTCAGGGTTTGTGTGGTTAAGTACCACTTACTGTTTTTTACCTTGGCTTTGCTGAGGCGTTGGTTGAACAGTATCATGAGTGTTTGTAGCTGTTTGGTCTCAATGCCATACCAGGAGGACAGACCTTTTTTCTCTACATTTCTGGCACGGCCTTTGAAGGAGGAATGTTTGTAGCAGCAGAGTTCTCTGCAGGATTGAACACCTTGGTCTTCTCACTGGGTAATGATAGTAACAAATCACAAGACTTACATATGATTGTCAGCTTAACATGATTATTATGTACATGCTACATGTTCTCTCTTAAGAAGTGTCAGTATGTATCAGTATGGTCTCTCTGACATGGTCTGTACTGCTGAGTGCTGATCTACCAAAACAGTCTTATCACATTCCAGAAGATAGTCTTTACTTTGGAAGTAGTTTATGATACTAACATCTGAAAGGCTATGCATGTATTCAGCAAATTAATTATCCTGCTTTTCAGATGTTTATTCAAATAGGTAACAGAAATAGCTGATGGGAGATGGTAAATGCTTTTTGTGTAGACCTTACCATATGTATTTTTTGCAGAGAGGAAAATGTTAGTAGGGTAAGAGGTATAAGGACAGCTGAGAAGGGACCTCATCAAAGTGTATCTGAAGGGAGGGTGCCAAAAGGATGGAGCCAGGCTCTTCTCAGTGGTGCCAAGCAATAGGACAAGAGGCCACATGCAGAAACTGATGCACAGGAAATTCCACCTGAATACAAGGAAGAAGTTTACTGTGCAAGTGACTGTGCACTGGAACAGATTGCCCAGAGAGGTTGTGGAGTCTTCTTAACTGGAGATATTCAAGAGCTGTCTGGATGCAATCCTGTGCCATGTGCTCTAGGATGACCCTGCTTGAGCAGGGAGGTTGGACCAGATGACTCACTGTGGTCCATTCCAACCGGCCCCATTCTGTGATTCTGTATTTCCTACAAGGTCATTCAAATCTGTGTATCCTGTAAACTTTTCCTTATGCTTTATCATGGTCCTGTTTAAAGAACTCATTAGATATCTTTCATTTAAAAGCTTACTTTTGGTTTTGGTTTTGTTGCTTCTTGAAACATCACTGAAGTTTGCTATCCGCTTACTTTTACAAATCATTTGCTTCAGTCACCACTTTGTAAAACAAAAGCAGGCAGCAAAGTCTGCTAAGTCCTGTGTTGCATTAAGTTATATAGCTTTCTTTTCTTGAGATATGGCATGTGTGAATATATTTTTCATTATTTTAGTTTTCATTGTTTGTATCGTCCAAACCCATAATGACTTGATCCCCTTTTCATAGTTCCTTATTTTAATATGTAAAATTGTGAGTTCTGGCCAGGAATATTTAATATTTCCAGACATCTGTAGGCACACAGGCCACTGCCTTTAGTCTCTAAGATTCACCTTTTAATTCTGATTGTTACCTTTTTTCTTCTTTTCATGAAAGAAAGACGGTGCAGGCCTTTTGACACAGGGATTGGTTAACTCTGCCAACCTCAGGGCAAAAGCATAACGCCTTTCTGCTTATTTGCAAGGTACCTTGTGGTCCCATTCTGCTGTGCCTGTGTGTTATACTTACATAGTCAGTGCAGGGGTGAAGCTGGTGGTACTGTATTAAACAGATCATCCTGTCTGAGCTCTAAATATCAGCAAATTTTAAAAGTATCTGTGAGCTGGAGTTAAGAGTTGGCTGTCACCTGTGTGAGAAGCATTGTCTTTTTAAAGTTCTGATTGAGGTAGTATCTTTATAGGATATATTTGGTGGCTGTATGTCTGTAAATAACATAAACATTGATGCTTATCAGACATCATGAACTTTCTTTCATGCCTTTTCTGCAGATCTTAAGTTGGTCTCATTGTTTAAGAGAATGTCAGCTTTGTTATGTTCTTGCAGACAGAATACAATCAAATATTCACTGGGTCACTTCCTACTCTGCTACCAAGAATTGGATTGTATTGGGATATGGATATCTGTGGAGTGCCAAGTGGCCTGGGTGTCTCGTCATTCTTTGATTTACAGTGTATGTTGTGTGGGGTGGTGGTAAGGAATTGCAAGTAAGGCAGATGTTATTTAACAGTTTAGAACCTGCTTAAGTAAGTTTGTTCAATGCCAATAGTGAATAACTTGGAAATCATGCAACCAGCTTGAGTCTGCTAAGTTTACATGCTGTTCTTTCCAGTCTGCCATGCAGATTAGAAATTATAACATGATGGGCTTTCAGCCATTGAAAATGTAACTCAAGACCCCAAATGCGTCTAGTACTATCTTAATCTGAGTTAGCAGTGCTCATTTATGATATATTTCATGGAATATTTGTTTTGCTACAAGAGTTAGCTTAGTATTAATTTTTGGTAGAGTCCTGAAATGTCTGTGTATCACTGTATGGCGTCTTTCTGCACAGATCAGTGTAAGTGCAAACATCAAATGCTAAAATCAGAGAGTGCTTCATGTTATATACTTAGGTAATTAACAGAACACCATCTTTCTATTATTACTAAACAATGAGTCTTCTGGAGAATTCAGGAATGCTCAAATAATCTGATAAAGTTGATTGAGTTAAATACTTTTAGTCTACTAATTTTTACTTCTTTTTTCATTCTGCTTACATCCAAGCTACTTTTACAGTAACTTCTGAGTTCTTCTAGGGGAACCATTTAGGTCTTCTGGGCACTGTTTGGCTAATATGGTAAATCAGAACTGTTCAGATTGTTATATGAAACCAGTAAAAGTGGGAAGGGTGCATGCCATAGGGAATTTGTTCATTTGGTTCCTTGATTACCTACAACCATCCAGCCATTACCTCTGGGAGCCTTATTGGAAGCTCTTCACTGCAGCCACGCAGCATCTTAGTCGGCAATACCAGCTCTCTGAAACAGTGGAATTAGCCTGGGCGCTGAAAAGCAGGTGATATATTTTTTTTTCTGGTGTGTGTGGCTTCTGCTGGAGGCAGGTTCTGAATTCTAGAGCATTATGTCTGTCCTGCCTTGTCTTAGAGAAGTGTTTCTTTTTGTTCAATTTAGGAATCAAAAACTACCAATGAAAAATCCAGAGGCAGGAGCCCGAAGCCAGCAGAATCCTCTTCACAGTCCTCCAAACATCCTTTCCAGTTGGCCAATATTTATGAATATTATGATGCAGGGAACCACTGGTGCAAAGACTGCAATACCATCTGCGGGACCATGTTTGACTTTTTCACACACATGCATAATAAGAAACACAGACAGGTATGTTGCAGGCTTCCTTCACTAAGTGCCTTTCATATTGCTATAAGTATTGACACTAAAACATACATCACAGAACTACATTTTACAAGAGAACCCAAAGTAATAATGAACCCACAAAGTTGCTTATCAAACTTTCCCCTAATGTTGGACTCGAGCAGTTGCACAGCTACCAGTGTGTTCTGACTAGTGTAAATGGGGCCTGTAAATCAGTTTGCTCATGTTTGGTACTTGTGTTTCTTACCTTTACCTGTTCTTTGCGATCATGTACATTTTACCCCTTTTCACAGGTTATTTTGACATTATAGATTGCAAAAATGGGAGGGGAAAGAGAGGAAAACTAGTTCCTATAAATATTTGTACATTGATTTTAATGCTCAGTGTTCTGAAAGGATGTTAAAAACGAAAAAGACAAGTGTACTTAACCTTGCTAGTGTAATATATGAGCCTGTATACCTCTGTCACTGTGCAAATAGACCCTGGATCCTTACAACAGACCTTGGGCTTCGAAGACCCAGAGCGAGACCAAACAAGACTCCATAAAACGCATTGATAAGATAACAGTTCCTGCCAAAGGTATGTTAATTTTTGTTAACTTGGGTATCATCCCTCTTTGCCCTCCAGTTGCTTACAGAAAGGAGTTTCAAAACATTCCCTGGATGTAGGAGCACAAGTAGATACTGTATGCTCAGGCAAAAAGCAAATGATTTCATTTCCTGGGGGTTCTTGTGGAAAAGGTCATGAAGCAAGTGTGTAGGAAAACATAGTGTGGTTCCTTCTATTCTTTTTAGAGTTTAGCTTTTTATTTTGAATACCAGGTGGCTTTTTTCTTTCTCCAGTGTAGTTCTGAAGTGATTCTTGCTAACATACTAGAATTCAGAGCATGACCATAAGTTTGCTGTGTTTGGGCAGATCTTGCACAGTAGTCCATACAGTCTTGCAACAGACTCTTCCAGCCAATACATTTTTAGTAGAGGTCTCCCTGAAAAATCACTGATGAGTACTTCGTAGAGTGTGGATACAGAGAATCTGAGAAAGCCATGTAGAAGGAGCTCCGAGTGACTTGAAAATTAATACAAGATTTAAAATCTGAATGTCTACCTAGGCCTGCCAGTGATTAATCTCAGTTTATTAATCTGTTACGTGCTTCTAGCAGTACCTGCTAGAGGAGAATCTGCAGTGTGTTAGATAACTGCTGCTGGTGTAGGCACAAGGATGAATTTGCTGAACTTAAAAGACAATACTTGTGCTCTTTTCATAAACCAGGTGTTTAGTATTTGAGCAGACTATACCACAAAGATAGAAAATAGATAAAGACTGTAGGAAATGTTAATCTACTTGAATAGTGGATTGCGTTAATATGATGGAGAGCACTTAAATAATTTCTTGAACCATAGTAATCAAATTTCTTCCCTTTATGTGTTTGTTCCTGATAGTGGTGGTTCCTATACTGTAAAGCATAGGGAGAGCAGCATTAACTGTTCCAAAAAGAACGTTGCTGGAGTTTTGCTGTTGTTCTTTGTTGTTTATCTGACTTGAAGAGCTTGGCATTTATTAAGTTTTGTTTCTCTGATAATTTTCTTTGGCCTTTTCAGGCTCTGAGTTTCTGATTCCCATCACTGGATATTATTGCCAGCTCTGTCATGAATTTTTTGGAGATCAAATATCAGCAGAGCAGCATGTGAAAAGTCATCCCCACAATGAGAAATACAAGGTTGGTAACTGGTGTATCAGGTGTGAGACATTTCCTGTGTTAGCTTCTACTTGTTCTTTCTTCCTTTCCTGAAGAATGACATTTAACTCCTTGGAGTAAATGTATTTGGTTATCTTCACTACATTCTGCAGAACTAAATAAGCAGAACTTCCCACTGCATTACTGTGCAGAGATTAATCTTTTATCTGCATGAGGTAGAAATAGTGTCTTCTGTACAGTGACAGCCCTGCTGCAAGCACAGAGTATGGAGTTTGTAGCACCTCAGTTTCTTGTAGGAAGAAGTTCTCTGGTCTCCTAGTGTTGAGATGGCACTTACTGAAAGAGTCAAAACTGTGAGGGAGCTGAATTTATTTGTTTTTCATGGAAACAGTGGCTAAAATTGTGTTGTTTATTTCCACAGAAATACATAGATGAAAACCCACTCTATGAAGAGAGGAGAAACCTGGACCGTCAAGCAGGATTGGCTGTAGTTCTGGAAACAGAGCGCAGGCGGCAAAACGAGCTGAAACGGAAACTAGTTGAGAAACAGAAAGAAGAGAAGGATGAGAAAAAGCCAAAAATAATAAAGAAAGAGGAAGTAAAGAGCATCCCAGAGCTTGGAGAAGGGAGTAGCGAAACTCAAGGCAAAATAGATTCTTCTGGGCGAAAAATGGGTATCACGCTTAAGCTAAAGAAGGAAGAGAAGAAGGAGGAGAAAAAAGAAGAAAAGAAAGAGGAGCCTAAAAAGGAATCACCAAGCCAGACTTCCTTTGGGAAATTCAGTTGGAAAAAGACTGAGAAAGAGGATAAAACTCCAGGAGGAGCTGTTCCAAAGGAGGAGAATACAGAAGGAAGCAAAGAGGAGAACAAGTGTCAGTCTGTGAAACCCCATATCAAACCTATCGAAATCAAGCTGTCTGGGAAAACTGTTATTCCACACACTAGCCCTTGGATACCAGTAGTTTCTGCACCGACACCAGCAAAAATTCTACCCAATCTGCCAGTCCCCACCATGATTTTCAGGAAGTCTAGTACTGCAACAGTTAGTAAACCAGCACCTTTGAACACCTTTTTATCCATAAAATCCTCTGGGGCTACCACCAAACCTCTGCCTGTGGTAAAAGAAACCAATACAGATCTTCTGCTCCCTCCGGATATCATCTCAAAAGCTTTTGGAGGAGAAGAAGTAATCTTAAAAGGGGCAGAGGAGGATTTGAAAGAGGCAGAGAAAAATGAGTCTTCTCAGACTTCTGATAGACTACCTCCACCCCCTCCTCCACCGGCAGTCCAGCAGGCTGCCCTCATCCCTGCAGATGAAGTAGCTCCAGGTGTGTCTGAAAGTGAACAGACAATGCTGGCAATGCCTGTGAGGCCACCACCACCTTCAACTGCTTTCAGTGAACAGGCAAAAAAGATAGAGAAACGAAATTCTTGCTTGGCCACAGCCAATGCTAAAGATCTTTATGATATTTTCTACAGTAGTGGTGGAAAGGGTTCGGCTGACAGCAAGCTTGTGAGTTCTGCACTTCCAAATGGAGAAAACTCTAACCTAATGAAACCTGCAGACTCACCTGCAAACTCTAGAACAAATAGTAGCTCATCCTCCTTGAAAGAGGATTCTCAGAATGTGGATTTCTCACAGTGTAATAATCAAGTATCAGGGAGTCAGGTTCCTGGTGAGAATCAGGCTGAAGTGAACAAGAATCCACTTCAGCCCCAGCTGTCAGAAACGTCGGTCACAGAATTGCCAGAAACAAAAACTGTTTCTGATATCCACATGCCTGCAGAAATTGGACTTGTGGAAATAGGAAGTAGAGAGCAGGCAGGCAGGCAGGAATTCTGTGATCTACAGAAAACTGTGGTCCAAGAGAAAGTTGGACAGGAAGATGCAAATAAATCCATGGTTACAAACACAAATGTTCCTAGTACCTTGGAGAAAGATGCAAAGACAAAAGACTGGGAAGTAAAAGCAGTAAAGCCTAAGCATAGCTTACAGCCAAAGACTTTGTTACCTGAAACACAGAATGAAATTCAAAATTTGGGAAATTCCCATTTGGTAGAGGAGAAGTTAAGCAATAACTGTAGAACTCGCTCAGAAACAGATAGTCCAAACTTGCTCGAGGACACTTCCAGAACTAGTAACGGAAAAAAGCAGGTCATCACAACCCATTCTTGTTCTGAAAGTGGTTGGGATCTATCAAATACTCCAAATGTAGAAATAAAATCTGGTTCTAATGAAGTTAGTACTTCAGAATTGATGGAGAGACAGGCAGACACATGTCTCACTAGCACAGTAACTAGAAGTAGCCTGTTAAAAGTTCAAGAAAAAGTTCGACCTGAACCTTCAGGCCATATAGTATTAGATAACCAAACCCAGGTAGTCAATACCTGCTTGAACTCCTCAGCGGTCCACTCCCCAGAAGCAAAGCACAAGGTTGAAAGAACCTCAGCAGCCAATGACTGCCATGTGAGTACCACTCACTCAGGATTGAACGCTGAGCAATCTGAAAGTCTCTGTGCAAACGTTCATGTGGACAACAAGAAAGTTTCTTTGACATCAGAAGATGTGAAACACAGTAAGACTCCCTCCCAGAAAGCAGAGCTTGAGTTCAAAAGCACTGATTTCAGTCTAGGAGACGGTAAGGTAAAACATGAAGGCTTCAGCATCCTTACAGCAGGACTTTTAAATGAGAATACGGAAGAAGTCTCAAAACTAGAAACTGTTGCATCCATTGGGCTGGAGTCCAGTAAACTTAGGAAGCTGGGCATTGAAAAAACAGTGACTGAAACTGAGGTTACTGGGTTTGCTTCACAGACTTCAGGTAGTTGGGAAGCTAAACTTTGCACACGGATTTCTCAAAAAGCTGTGCTGCAGCTTGGATCACAGACCTCAAATAGTGACACTACAGGAGCAGTCATGCCAGTTCTGGAAATGCAGGGCATTTCTCCCACAGCTGAGACACTTCTGCAAGTGGAGGAGAGCAAAGGTGGCACTGTTGAAATGCCATCACTGAGCTGTGGTGGAGGCAGCACAGAAAGTCAGGCTTCTGAGTGCGTGGAAACTTTCCTTCCTGGGCTCAAAGAAACACACGGAAAGGTGGGTGGCTCAGGAGGCAAGGGAGTATGCACCATCCAGGGCCAGAAGACTGAGCAAACAGAAGCTGCTGACAGTGGTTTGGAGGCTAAAACAAATTCAGGAATTGCTGAAAGTGTAGCAGAAAGCCCAGTGGGTTGAAGTAAACCCAGCCAGTCCCAATATTTGAGGAGCCAGAGCTGGGATTATGTATATGTTTTTTGTTCAGGTTTTTTTTTTGGTTTTTTTTTTTGTTCCAGTTGAGAGTTTTGGGTGTATTTTGCATTCTGTGGTAGGACTTGACTAAAGTGAAACTTAGGTCATCAGAAGACAGACTCACTTTATTCTGTACATAATTAATTGTGTAAAATGTTTTTTCATGTGAATTTTTTTGCCAATTTCTTTTCTACACTGCTATTAAAATGGAATCTCGTTTATAATGCGTGCGTCTTTGTTCTTTATTTTGGGGGCTTTTATTCTTTGACCGTTCCCGGATGATTTCCAGCTCACCCTGTTTGTGTCAGTAGCACCATGAGTAGCCCAGCCACTGGGATAAGCTGAAGAACAGCAGTTTGGAACTTGAGGAAGTGGAGACTTGCAGAAGAGCTAAACCTGCAAATTTCTTTGAACTGTAGTGCATGGGCTTGTTTACTTCCATTGTTTGAACTGCAAGAATGTGGTTAGAGTTGATTTTGTTTGTTTATCTGTCTCTGTGATTTGTAATTACTGTTGTATTACATCTGTACTTAAGCTGTTTCATTGTATTGTATAAGCACATGTATGGATGCCACATCACTAAGCAAGGGGAGAAAATCTGTCCGACTGGCTTTTGGAGAGGAAGACTAATCGGTAAGGCTCTGTGGCCTGACACCTGGACCAGACATATTGAGGTCACTTACATGATTTGAAATGGGCTTTCTTTCGTTGTATTGTGATCCAGTAACTATTTGTGTTAAATCATTTAGCAGCTGACCAGCTCTGAAGAAGCAGAAGATCAGAACCCTGGTGTCAGGAATTGGACTCGCTTCATGTGATACAGACACATGCATGCCTACCCTGAATGGTCCTTGAGCTATCAAAAGCTCTACTGTGATGGTTCTCATTTGTATAGCTTGTTAAAGACTGAAGTATTAAATGCATTTGCTTGGATAAATATAACATTTTTATTTGTAAATTGTTTAAAAAATAAATACATGGTGGTCAACAAGGCTTTCCTCTTGGATTTCTTTGTTTTCTTTAACTCCAGGAAAGTGTTTTATCTCAATTAGTTTCTAACTCCTGTAGTAGTTGATAATCATCACCTGCAGATGATGAAGATACTCAACAGTTAGCCTGCTCAGTAAAAAACTGATTTATTCCCAGCTAATATCAATGGAAGAACCACTCTCAACATCATCAGTGGAAGTTTGTTTGAAGTCCTGAGCCCTATGGAAAGCTCACAGCAGGGCATCAGGGGCGGGACCCAAGCAGGGCTCCCATTTCTGTAATTCCTACCTGCACGTGGATCTCCAGAGGCAGCAACATCACCATTTTTCTTTGGTTTCCATGGCTGTGTGAGAAGAAGGTATGAAACATTTTTCAGAGTCGTTAAGGTGGGGTTTGTGTTCGAAATGTAAGAACTGTCTAAGCTGAATTTGGAAATCTAGTATAAATGGTCAAGTCACCAGGAAAAAAAAGGTAATTAAGAAGGGAAGAGAGTTTTGAGAAAGGCTCTTTGAGCTGTTTTTATGATGTGAAGCAGTTACTGCATTGAGTATAAGAAATCTTTGTTAGATTATTGCCCTACTTTCTTCAGATAACTTATTTGCTGTCTAAAGCAAAGGAAGCAAAGTTTGACATGCTTTGATAATTTCAGAGTGGAGTTGGGTAATGAGTAGAGATTGCTTAAATCCTGGTTTATAAAAAAGTCCTTTGTTGATGTTTTTCAGTTTTCTTATTTATTTTTTAAATTATTTACCTGAGTTTATTTGTTTACATTTGAGAGCTAAATTCCACCTACCCCCCTTTTCTCTCCAATTTTTTCAGTGAAATGCCTGGTCCCTTGTAAATCCACCAAGGAAGAGGGGAACTGATTTTTTTACCTGCCATGTATTGAGGGATATCAGTGCAGGGAAAGGAGATATTAAAGGGAAAGCTGAATTTTTCTAGAGTTCTGCATTTTTGATGTTGGTGTTTTGGAATACAGACATGCTTTCTGGTTAGTTTCCTTTTGCAGATTGGTTTTTGTGAAGGTCTCAGTGCATGCAATGGAAAATAGAATAATTTGGATAATGATCTTCTTCAGACAGCCTTATTCAATGCTGTGTTACCTTTGTGGGACATACTCTTGATAAACTTTGTTTGGGGGAAAAGGACAATATAATATCCATTATCCTTGTTCTGTGCTCTTCTACAGTTTCTTCTACAAGTAGTGGTGGTGGTCAGAGCTGAGCCTGGCTGGCCATGAATGGAGAGGAACTACCACCAAGGGCAAGCAAGAGCTTTGCAAATGAGAAACTGGGGAGTGTTACCCCATATTTGTCTAAAGCTTTCCAGAATCTGAACCTTCCTGTGGTACAAATTAAATAGCACTTCCCTTCATGCCCTTCATTCAAATAATTGTTACTCTGTCCTTGAGTGGAGTAGGGCTCTTTATTCCTGGAAGGGGGATTAATTTGGTCTTTTTTGAGGTAGAAGTTAAAGGTATTTCTTGAACCACTGCAATGGATGAGAACAAAACAAGTGGTGTTGGTGATGGCATCTAGGCAGATTGGCAGACAGGCATTAACACTGTAATTTCATGAAATGGCATGTATTTATGTATATTTTCTTCTTTTTTTTTTTTTGTCTTCTTTTTTTCCCCCCTGTGGTTTCCAGAGGCATGCAGTAAATGATTTATGCACTATACTGGTTCCCTGTGCTGGCAGAGCTGTAGCATAGTGCACTGACTGGGAAACCTAATTTCTAGGCTGGCCTTGGATTCTTCCACATCCTCAGGAGGAGGGGTGAGTTAATGGGGATTTACTTGTGTGTTTGAATGGTGCAATACAACATTACCTCTCCTGCCTGACCTAGTTCTCTAAAACCTGCATAAAGCATAAGAAGTTACCTTTCTTCTGGTTTTTAGAAAGCTGCTGATAGGGAGGAAACAAACCTAGTCTGAATGTTTTACTTCAAACCAGGCACAAATATCTAGTCAATTCAGAGGACTCTAAGCCTTTATTTGATGCTGCAACCTTTAGTTTGCTATGATGGAGGCTGGCAGAAAGGCCTTTCTCCTGGATGAATTTTATTGCAAAACCAAGCTTAATTAAGAAGTAGTGGAAGAAAAGCCATGGAAAAGCTGCTGGCATCTTGTCAATCTGTTCTAAATCCAGGTGGGTTTTTAATAGCTCTTCCAGCTTCTTTAAACATATATTTGGAAAGGAGGAGCAGCCTTCAAATGCTTACAAGAGTAATATTTTAGATAAAATATAGTAAATATTCTTTCCCTGGGGTAGTCTCTTGGGCAAGTAGATTTTGCATCTAGCTTAATGAAATCTTGTCTTTGATTGTTTTTGTGTCAGAATTTGAAATGACGTGTGAGCAGGGAAGAAATGTATCAACCATCATTCTGTTACCAATTTCTTTTCCAAATGCACTTGTGTCTTAATCTACTACTTGCACTTCTTCACTGAGATACAAGATCTCTGCTATTTGGCAGAGATTTTCCAGAATCTCCATCCCTGGAAGTGTTCAAAAGGCATGTGGGTGTGGCACATGGGGATGTGGTTTAGTGGTGAACACTGCAGTGCTGGGTTAATGGTTGGACTTGAGGATCATAGAGGTCTTTTCCAACCTTAATAACTTCATGATTTCTTAATTCTTGCCAAGGGTGGGAAGATATGACCAATTCTTATCTAAGAGAAGCCTCACAAAGAGCTTAAATTTTGCTCATGGAAACAATAAGATAAGTGGGCAAAGACTGATTATTTTTTTATCCTGGTAAACCCAAAAGAGTTTTCAGAAATAGCTACTGAAAGAAAGTGATGAAAGCAGAAGTCTCTTGAAAAAAACAAACCCACAACCATCTACCAAACTAGTGCATTCCTAAGCATGACAAAACTGTATTTCTTTAGTGCAAAGGGCAAGAGAAATCGTCTGAGACAGGTTTTTATGTTGCACTTGATGTGAAACTGTGTTGGTTTACTACTCTTTCAGAACATTACAGAAAGGTAAAGGGAGGAAAATCATCCTTTGAGACAGAATTCAGTCCTCTTCTGCCTACTGCATGGTTAAGCGCAAACAGCCTATGTGTCACCACTGTGGGAGTATAAAGCAGCCATAAAATTTAATTTACTTGACTCCTCTGCCTCTGTCTAGCACAAAGAAGAAGAGATACACAGGTTATGTTTGCTAGACTATCCTTTCTGTTTTCAGCCACTATAGATGGATTCCAGGTTGTGACCAACCTCAGCAAAATAACGCGGCTGCACTGTTACCTCCTGCCTTATAGCAGAAACCTGAGGCTCCATATTTAGAATTAGTTTCTGGGGTTTGTTTCCTGATCCCACCTCCTCCTCTTCTTGGGCTGTCTTCTTGCTTGTAATGAGAAGGCTGGTTACCATATGTCAGCAGTTCTAGGCTCTGGTAAAATGAGTCAAGCTGCTGTTGCAGTTCCCATGGAGCTGTCCCATCAGCTGGGGATGCAGAGAGCAGAGCCTTTACAATTGTTTGTGCACATGGTGGAGAACAGTTGAATACCTGCAGGAAATAAAACCTGTATCAGACCTGCTTCGAGAGAAATAGCATTCCCTTTTCCACCAGGCTGACTGAAGAATCTTCAATTGACGGACAGGAAAGCACAAGGTAATGTTTTCAATTCTTAATCAAATATAGTTTTTCTTCAAGAAACTGCTTTTGTGGGGGAGTTTTAGCCAGAACTTAAGCAACACTGAAATAGTACAAATCATTTGGGATACCACCCTGTTTAATTTGCTTACAAACTTTAGATGAATGTAGAAATGAGAACACTTTTGGAGCCATGGTAGCTGTGAAGAAGAGTTCTGTAACAGCTTTCTGGTACAGAATGGTAGGAGTGGTCCTCATATCAGTACTCACATTAGGCTGTATTAATCTCCTGTCAGATAGGAAGAAAACAGAAGTTAGATGTAAATGCCAAATAACTAGATGAGAGAAGGACT